CTATGACCTGCGCAACGCTATGGAAACGGATCGACGGTGGCACAACACGTCTGTGTTCGGCTCGCGGGTGGACTTTATCCCCGGCCGGCGGCCGGCCGTGCTCACCCTGAGGGACCTCGGTCCCGCCGACCAGGCCATCTACAAGTGCAGGGTCGACTTCCAGCACTCGCGCACTCGGAATGCCCTGGTCAACCTGACCGTCATAGGTAAGCCGCTGGGGTCGTGGTGGTCGACGACACATTTTGTCAGCGTCGTTCTTTGGAATGGAGACATTTAGTCAGGCTGGCGGTGGGATCTGATGGAGAATCCGGCAATATGAGGGCTGAGTCGCCGTTTCTCATTCTGAGCTCTCACTTCCAGAAAGGCGGTTAGCTATTCAGGTCAAATGTCATGCGACAAATGTCAAATTTTCATTTCTGGGTTATATAAATTATTATGAATAAAGACTGCAACAGATCTAGAGTTCAGACTTCAGAGAGGTTTAAACTTGGTGAATTATGTAAGAGGTTGTCTTTGATAAATTTCGTTATGACATTGAATGTTTGATCAATGTGTCAGTAAATAAGGATTACAATAATGGATGTGTTTATTTGGAAATCGCCCTTCAAAAGCAAATTGCAAAAAACAAAAACATTATATATACAGGCGTAATCCGTATGTTTCTATAGACTCAGCTGGTCAAACTCTCAATGCCTATCAACACAAGCAGTTATTTTTTGTGCACCTATCATCTACCTACAGCAATTTGATTCACGTTTATGACAGAAACAGCCATTCTGTGACAGCTTTTATGATCCAGTTCTGGTATAAACTCTTACTGCTTAGCTAAGCTGCGCTTTGCTGTCGAGATTCAGCACAGCTCGAGACCACAGCCCTCCTCTCAGTCGTTCCAGCCGCGCTGGCGAGCAGAGAGAGCCTGAAGTGGTAGACTGTCCCGCCGCACCCTAACGTCAGGCGGCGCAGTCTACCTATCCGTGACGCTTGCCGCATTCGGCTCCGCAGCGCTAGGCCGTGAAGCTGCATCACTGGCTTATTGCCCTTGTTTTCACAGCGTATTGTTCGCCTGACCTGATGAGGGAAGAAATGCTTTTTTGTGACAATCGAGCCCTTATCAACTGAAATTGACTGGAGTTCCAGTGTTATTATCTTTGCGAGGTAATAAGCAAATATTGCAGTGCATAAGATAAATACCTAATGTATGCACCTAGAAATTGATTACCAATCATTTATGTTTTATCGAACGACAAACAATGCAATTAAAAGTTAACATTGCAGCTTCACATATAACGTGTTCATAGTTGACAATAACGATGAAATTCTGCTTGGATTTTCATTTTCAACAAACCCTTTTTCATTTCTTTGTTCTATGGCTGTTGTTAAGGAAAACAGCCAAACAGATCATCGTCCTTTCGCTAGTTCAGCCACCAGAGAATTCACTAAAACACCCACGCACACACACACGGGCGGCAGTTGTCGTCATCAGGACACAACATCAGGCTTCTCCTATTCCGGTGGGCCGGTGAAATTTCACTGCGCTCCATTACCCGATGTTGCCAGTTGGCCGGACACCGCCGGCGACAGCCGTGTGTCCCGAAAACGCAGCCGTCGCCGCCGTCACCGACCCATTGCAAACGGCGCGAGCGGCAGAGCAGCGAGGTAGATGAGCCCAACAGAGCGCTGGCTGGCCGCATATAAAGCGAGGGCAAAGGACATCCGATGACCTTTGTTGGCTCCGTTCGACCAAGTTGGAGTGAAACTGGGCTGCCAGTGCTCCCTGAACGGTTATTGCGCCCACCGACCTGGCGTCAGTGGCTCGGTCGATGACAATGTTTATAGGACCTTCGACCTTACTCTCGGCGACCACATCACGTAGGTGCGCGAGCTTCATGCTTCGATAGCCCCCCAAGAAGCGGAATCCAACTTCCGAGCATTGAGTGTGAAGTAAGTTTAAAACCTTTGATCTGTTTTCGTGAGTCAACAACTTGGCAGATGGGAACACTAGGCGAAAAGAATAACATAGGGCCAAGTTGAGATAAAGTTTCGACGGCTTCGGATGAGGGCATTCACGTATAGACTTTGCCTGACGACTAGATAACGCATCTGTGATGTCTGTGTTTAACGATTAACACTCCAATGCTGAATGTGAACAATAGTGTTCTCCGGTAGTTGTCAATGGCGCTTTGGAAACGAATGTGTTTCCTATGCCTTTTCTTTGCGGGGAGAGATGGCACTGCCTATGAAACGCCCGCTTCGAAAGTTCGCGCGGCATCGACTCGGCAGTTGGTTTTCTATAGATAATTTTTGTGGCGTATCCAATCTAACTCGTTTTTCCAATTGTCAACCGGTTTTCACCTTTCCATTGCAAGGCCCGTTCTCTCGAGCGCATAAAGCCTATACCATTACTCGTGTACTAGCTCAGACGAGGAATGTGAAATACAGGTATTCCACTTGCGTGAAACTCCAGCAGTCATAAGCATAGCTTGTCGCTGCTTCAATATGCCGGCGGGCGTATATTGCGATTTTATGTTCCTCATATGCCATGCAACGGGAGGTTTCTCCCTTTGCGCGAGTGCAGAGCTCATTTATATAGCTCAGGGATGGTAGATCCGATTTCGCGCTGACCCTTTATGTGATTGGACATATTGCAACAATGTTGAACGGCTTTGCGGTGATTGATAAGTTATAAACTACCACACATTTGTGTTGTTAAAAAATTAAATGCCCCTATACTATGTAGTGTTATGAACTACACATCAACGTTTCATTTCCCCATATATGTACATACCTTCGGCGGTCTGACCTGCCCATCTACATATGAAGTTATTGTTACGGCTCCCCTGCTGGCCTGCCCAGTGCTCATCTCACACAGTCCCCCTTGATGACTTCCCATCTATGAATTGCAGTTACCATGTTGGCCTTTCTTCACAGTTTCCCTGTTGCAACCTATGTCGCAGTTTTTTCTGTTGATCTGCCACTTATGTTACAGTTTCTCCTGTTGACCTATCTATGTTACAGTCTCCCATATAACGATGATCTGCCCCCTCACTGACCTCTGACCTCTACCGACTGACTGACCCCTGTCTTGCCTCTAACCTCCCCAATCAATTTTCAGTTCCTCCGGAGAGCGTGGAGATCCTGGACGCCGGAGGAGCGGTGCTCAACACGGTGGTGGGCGCCTTCCTGACGGGGGAGCGGCTGAAACTCACCTGCCGAGTGAAGGGAGGTAAGTGAAAACTCTCACAACTGAGTGAGGTGAGGGGAGTGAAAATTCGCGACGGGAGGTGAGTTCAGAATCAAAGCGGACATCACCATTCACCTCTCCATATTCTCAAGATTTAGATGAGCCTCTTCCTCTGTTGACTAGAGCGCCCTCCTACGGATGTGGGTTATAAACTGTAGTCTCATTACTCTGCGATGTATTGATGCTACGGAAAATACCAGCAGAGGCCTCTTGCACCAAAATCCTCTTGCACCAATGCTTGGATTATTTTGCATCGTATACCCAGTCCAAGTCTCAAATGTAACAATTTGCGTGCAAAATTTAGCAAGAACATGTAGGATTATGTATTGGGCTATTGCAAATAAATTTACCACCGTTAGATTAGCTTATTCTGAAACCGGTTTTTCGATTTTACCTAGCTAGATAGTTTGGTGCAAGAGGCCCAGATCAAAAGAATCGATGCTGAAATAGGCTGAAGGTATCCAATGCTGAAGGTATCCAAATGAAGGTATCCAGCTTTTAAAGGTAAACACGGGCTTATTTGAACTTGGAGGCCACAGACCGGTGGCGTGACACATGGTTCACCACTTTCACATCAAAACAATGTCTCTGCAAACATTGCGGGCCTGTCTGCTGGAGCGGGTGGATATATTTTGGTCCGATGAAGCAGCGTCTGCCTGCCTGCCACGCGTGACTAGCTACCTGTTGATTTGCGGCGCGTGTGGAGGCCCACGAACGACTCCCAAAAACGAAACTCCTCGTCAGAAAACTATTCATTTTGGCCAGAAAAGGTGCCGTGACTCATGTCATTCCGCAACTTGTTGGTGGTCATTTATTATTGGTGATAATTTGACATAATTGAATAATGAGATATTGATGAAGCAGCACGAAAACTAATGCCGTCAACAACCCCCGACGTCACGAAAGCTGAATATCAGGTACATTAGCCTCTGTATAGTGTATTCAAAACTATACAGAAATTTGCAGAAGTACGTGCAGTTATAGTTCGTTTTTTATCACTAACAATATCAGTGCTCAGATGTGACGTCATATGATAACAGGTAACTGTTTACTTATTTCTATTTGATGATATACCCGTATTAACCCTCGCCCGCACATGGGGGGGGGGGGGGTGGTTGCCACACCCCCCCCCAGGTAGTCTTTCTGCTCTGCACTCAACATTTTTAAAGCTAGAAGGCTGATTTTTGGTATAACTGCTTCTCTATCTTTTCTTGATGTCCACTGAAAATTTCAAGTTTCTGTGATTTTTGGTTTCGGAGATATGACCTTGTTTTTCAGGTCATGTCATGACCCAAATGGCCAATTCTCAACATCTTGAGTTTGCCATGGGCCTTGTGAGCTTTTGACACCCTGATTTCGGCCTTTTTTGCCAGTCTTACCTCCCACCTATCATAGAACATGTTGTTCGACGATGTACAGGGGTCAAGGTCAGGGTCAAGGTCAACCTAGGTCATCTAAGATAATTGCGTTTTAGGCAAGATGAATTTGCTTTTTGTGGATTTTTTTGACTGTATTTTTGGTAAAAGCTTCTCAGATCATGATTTCATGTAACATGGACCCAAAAACAATCGGTGCACACATCAGTATACACACAGACACACACAGACATACAAACACATATAATTGACCTTGACCTAACTTGACCTGAAATGACCTCAGCAGCAAAATTCTGGTCGGGTAGTGTGACAACGAGGTTCTAGTTGGCTTGGCACCAGAAAACAGCATCGTCATCGGTATTTGATAAGCAGCGCACTTGATATCCAACGGTGACCCAAAACAGCAACATTTTTTAGTTTGACCTGACCTGGAAGGTCAATGACTGACCTGAGAAGGTAAAACTGGGTATCATTGGATTCGTCTCTTCCCAAAGAATCTTTTTGGTCTTTACCGCTAAGCTCTATCTCCAACAGGAACGAAATGGCGCGGGGGGGGGTGGCAACCACCCCCCCCCCATGTGCGTTCTAGGATGGAAAAATGGCATGTGCGGGCGAGGGTTAAATCGTACGAATTTCTGCTTATTTACAATATTATTCAAGGTATGTTAACATTTTATGCTGTTTCGGATAGCATTTTTATAAATATCAGGGGTAAGGAGGCGCCGACGGTCGACGGTCGAGCCGACCAGACTGTCTGGAGCGGTCGAGCATTCAGGGCAAGAAGACCGCTCTCTGGTAACCTTTGAAGCATTGCTAGAGCGAGCATATAGAACACCCACCGACATCACAACCCCCCCACCTCCCGCACACACACACACACACACACACATACCTACAGACCCAGTCAGCACACGGCGGCTCACAGAGCGCCTTCGTCATATCACCCTCTCCAGGCGTCTGACTGCCTGCCCGACTTGTTTACCCAGTCGGACGGCTCTTGTTCGCGCGCTACGCAGCACGCACGGGACGTCTTGTTTGCGCCACGTCGGGGTGTCTGCCTGTCGAGCGCGGGTCGCTGGAGTCTCCCCTGACTCCCGGCAGTGTGCGCCGAGCCTGGCCTGGTACTTACACTTAATTGATCTCTGTGTTACGACCTCAAAGGGACGGCAAATGCAAATGACGATGAAAATACAGTGAATTGCGCGCAAAAGACAGTAATATATGCAAATATCTTTTGATCGTTCTGCAAAAAATGAGATGGTGATCTTTTTCTTTTAATTTATAACGAAATTTAAACATAGATAATGCTACTATATTTGCATTCAATTTGCAAGGAGTGCATTGTGGACGAAAGGTTCTTTGGTTAGAATCATTTTTGCTATTGTTTTCTTGTTGTTGCTAATCATATCGAATCGTATCTTATCGATTATTAGGGATTATCCACGATCGACTGGTTGTTCAGCAGCTAGTTGAGCTTATTCATTTCAGGAACACATATCATGCAGCTGTAATTGGGAAAGTCTCAGCCACAGCCATCCACAGCATATGGCTACATGCTGTTTGTCCTATGTAAATAAAACGTGACTTTGTTCTATCAAAATTAGATGATAATAGCCAGCCGAATTACCTTTCGGGGGTAATTACCGACACACAGGGCTCAAAATATTTATGTAACTCACTTTAAGTGTCTGAGCTGAATGACCTTGTGCTGCTATTCGTTAGATCCACACTTGCCGCCTGCTCTAACTTCTGGCAATATGGCAAAGGTTTCCCAGAACTGTGGCCTAATGAAGTTCACTTGACATGATTGATGAAAGCTAAGGACGTTGGGGTTCGTTCCATACCGCATAGCTAACAATAACTCATTGGTGTATCTTAACTACATAGTAACGCACGGAGGAAATTAGAGATCGCATCAATTACCGTGTGATGTCCCTACTTACTACATACATACTCGTAGTAGCCGTTTTCACGACGGGCTATCCGGTGAGTGCACCTTATTCGACCAAATCTACACCTAATCTCTTCTGCAGCAAATATCTTTATTTTATGAATTTATTTCAGTGTTTTAATCGATGATACTCTCTGATAATATGACAAAGCAGGCATATAAGCAATTAATACAACCCTAGCTAATAGGTACTAAGAGATACACCGAACCTAATATGACCAAATCTGCACCTAATCTGCACCAAATTTGCACCAAATGTGTACCAGATGGCCGTCGTGAAAACGGCTAATAACTCATGGAGGAAATTAGAGATCGCATCAATTACCGTGTGATGCTTTTCACATGCAATAAATTGTCCCAGTTGGTATAGCTTCACGACTTTATACATACTGTCACTTTATAGGTTGTAAGACTCCAAACACACTTCAAAATTTCTGAATTGGCCCCGCCACCATCTTTGTCACCACTACCCCGAGTTCTTGCTGCTGCCGCCGTCAGCGCCGATGCTGGTGGCGTTTTTTCAGATAATTTCACCGGATTATTCAATATTGAAGCTACACTTTCTGCCCAAATACTAAATACCAAACACCAAAGCGGTATTCGTACTGCTTTAGTATTGATAACAAAAAGGCTTGCATCCATATCTAATCGGCATTTCGGCCCGGTGTCCGGTCCGATGTCCGGTCCGGTCGCAGTGCCGCCAGTGATGACCCGCAGAGGGACCATTGGTGTCTCTATGGCGGTGACCGCAGGCGGGCTATCAGATCCAGCTGGCGCGGGGTAGATTGGTGCGATGACCGACAGACGCCGACCGAATCGGCCTGCGCTCAGCACAGATAGGGCCACCCACTGCGGGTCCAAGGCATCGGCCCATCGCCGCGCCGCGCCGGCGTGCGCTCGGCAATAAAATCGGCAAAGTGTCCGGTCTACGACTGCCATGTGGAAGTAATTGGATATTTTAAGTTTTACCTCCGTGCGTTCGGAAATTTCGCCTTTTCAATTAACGTGTTCGTGAAAATGGTTTCACTTTTAAATTGCTGGAACCTCCTTACCGTGTGGCATGCTATCATGGTACTTCGCGATAATTGGTCGCTGGTCTTTCACAAACATTTCGGTCACTTTCATTTGGATTGCAATTCAGTGGAAGTGCCTTTTGATCAGACAATATTACTAAGACCGGTTTTCAACCTCTGCGTGCAATGAACTGATGCGAATCGATTCATAGAATTGCTCTTCTTTCTGGTGGGATGCTTCCTCTTGTCCGATAATGTCCTGGAATTACTAGACTTAAGACATATGGTAATCATTTTACGATGCTCACTTTACGCTTGTTTCTCGTACTTACCTGCACTTTTCACTGGTATACTAAGAGGTGGTAGAACCGAGAAAGTTTTCAGGTGAGCTATTCACTTATCTTTAATTTCCACAGTGCCAAACGAGATACAGCAATGATGGACCGAATTATTCGCTGAGCGAAAGGTGAAGCGACATCATCGGTGGTGTTTTACGCGTTGCACAACAAGGAAAAACGATTATTGGCTCTTGTCACGTCCATGACCTAAATTTAAGACTTAGGTCCGCAGTGGCTTGGTAGTTTTTTTACTGGTTCCAAGTCATTGCGCAATATGGTTGGCCGTGCCTTAGCGGGCATCTAGGCTAGTTTTCGTCCATTCGGTCCCTAGGAATACCTTTCAAAATATGACAATGGTATACCATATCCTTAGTGACCTGGAGGTCCAGTGACAACTACTTTCTTCCGCAGAGACCTGTTGATACTGTGCCGGATCTTGTCCCGGGAAAATCCATCGACGATCGGTTACAGGTTAATCGATAGGGACTCTATCCACCGCTTACGCATTCCTCGGGGCTAACGGCAGCCGCCTGGTGCCGGTAGACTGTGCCGCATCACACGAGTGTTAACCCTATTAGTGGCAGGCTCCTGTCTACCCCTATTAGTGGCAGGGGGGGGGCTGTTTACGACCCCCCCTTGATATCTCGAGATCTAACGGGCCAATTTTCAAAATTCAAACGGCATTCGATTTCGCTGAACGTGATCTACATTTCTAAAAAATAAAAATTAAAACATGTCAATAGGGGGTAGAGGGGGGTAAAAACGGGCGTATTGCAGATACATTTTAGACTGTTTATCACGGCCAGGTTTCTGAACCAATCTTAACGCAACTTTTGCCGATCGATAGAGAATGAACCAGGAATTCACATGGATCCTAAAAATATGCATTTTCAAAAATCATAGGCGGATACAGATCATTGAGATTGGGGGTACACAAAAAGTATAGTAAATAAGGTTTTTGTTGGTACTGTTTCTAAAAAGGGTGGTAATGGTCTTGTTATGTTACAATTTTCTTATGAGAGAACGACTACAATTGTATTGGTCATGCATAGGCGGTGTCAGGGCACCTATGTTGGGAGGGAAAACATAACTCCCTTTTTGGTCGCCTGGATCCGCCTATTATAGCAAAAACGTGTCAAAAGAGGATGCACAATAACTTTGTATATGTTATCACATGATGCCTTTCATTCACTGTTCGTAAAACTGGTGCAGCATCGTGATCTTCGCCCAAATGACTCGCTTCACGAATAGGACCCCCAATTCCCAGTGCTCTGGAGCCGCCCCTGGTAAAGTTATGAACTTGAAATTTTCAGGGAATGTGCCCAATTTAGTTTTAGGAAAAGTCAGAAAATTTCAGCATCGTAGCTTCAGCGGTTTCGGAGATATTCCCGAAAAACCTGAGGGGTGGATGAAAACAACCCCCCTGCCACTAATAGGGTTAAGCGGTACAGCCCATCCACGCCGCATAACAGCGGCCCGGATCGCTGGATGAGTTTCACCCCAGTTTCATGATCTCATTTTTATTCTGAGAAGAGTCGGTAAATTTGAAAGGTTGGTATAATGGATGGTTGGGGATAACGGGGGCTCTAATGCATGGCGAGTCCCCCCGGCTGAGAAATTGGAGGGTCTCGGCCCCTGCGAGGACCCTGGCTCCCGCGCCTAATGATAAGGAGTCCGTTTCGCTGTACCCGACTGCATACTCTTCTCTCCACGCTCACAGCGATGACATAGATGCTCAGCGACGGCTCACATCCCCAGAAACTGACTGCTCTTCTCCCTTTCCCCAGGCCTGCTGCGTCCCGTAGGAACTTGGAGGTTCAATGACGACTCATATCCCCTGAAAGTGACCGCTATTGTTCCCGTCCACAGGTTCGCAATAATAACCCATAGGTTCAGATCTTGGCCCTTGAAAGTGACCGCTCCTGTTCCTCCCGCAGGCTCTCCGCGTCCGGCTGTGACCTGGAGGTCAGGTGGCGAGGTGCTACCGGTACCGTACCAGCCCCAGGGCGAGTACACGGTCAGCCAGTACAGCGTGGAGGCGCTGGACAGGTCGGACCTCCATCGGATGGTCACCTGTCTGGCGTCCAACACCAACCTGACGGCGCCGGCCACCAGCTCCGTCATGATCGACATGAACTGTAAGTAGAAAACAGCTGTGAGTAGACATATGTCTGAACTGTTAGCAGAAGACATATATAAACTTTGAGCACTGTGAGTGCACAATGTCGACGACAGTGCGTTGTATAGTGATATATTACTATCATCAAGTTAATAATATAATCCCCGTATGTAACATTGCTATATAGCAAAATAACTGTCAGCCATTTACACATATGGCAAGATAAGACGCATTTCTTCGTTAGTTTCTGGAAAACTGTCAGCGATTTTTTTCAAGTCAATTGACAAAGAAGACTTAAACTTTAAAGTGACAACAGGCTATCAAGGTAACCCGCTTAGCTGTATCTTCAAACTCATTCGAAGTAATTTCAGAAAGTGCGTCCTGTCTCAACTGGGGGATGAATTTGCGTAGGAAGCGCGCAGCTACACGCTATCATAAGCGTACCAACAAAGAGCTTTTTCGGGTTCGTCAAGCCGGGCGCGTGACAAGATTGGAAAGCTGACGCTTCGGTCACGGCGGCAGCCTACCCGTTGTAAACAATTAAAGATAGATGGTGCCGGGCAGCCCAGTTCTCGGAGCGGCGAAACGACTTTTGGCCAGAGCGTTACTGTTTTTGTCTCGAAATACTAAAGTCGCGTCAGATGAAACTACGCGGACTGAAAACGTAATGCGAGTCTAAATTCCACCGCGACTTTTGGTCCGCTTTTCTGTTACACCAGTGAAGTCAGTAGAGCAGTTCTAGATTAAACACGTAATTAGGACATTAACCCTCACCCGTTCAGGGCGTATTTCATAAAGAGGAATGTCGTGCGGGAAATTACTACGAACCACTGCTGGTGCTCAGCTAATTGAGTTTAGGTCTCGCGGCCAAGCCGAGCGTATTGCTTGTCATGGAGGATTAGTTAGTACTCGGGTAGGGTGTCAGAGGCTAGTTGGTAGCCGCAGAGGTCAAGCCAAAAGTAATTTGGTTACCTAATAACTATATTTTAGATTTAGAGTTACCAGAACGGGGGAACCTAAGGTCAAAGTTCAAGTTCAAGGCAAGGTCAAGGCAATAGAGGTCAACAGTGCAGTGGTTTATGAGATCCATTTTTGTTGTAATCACAAAAAATAATCCGAAACACAATAATCTTTTGCACAGGGTCCTTGCTCCTATCAGGTTAGCATGCTTATTCAGAGACCTCTTAACCCTATTCCTGGCGGGCTCCGCCGGGACAAGAAACTGGCGGGGGGGGGGGGCCGATTCGGCCCCCCCCCCCCCTGAGATCTCGAGAACGAAGCAAGATAGCGACAAGCGGTAAACGGCATCGGATACGCACGGCCAAGATCTACAATTTTTACTAAGGTCATTTTCAGGTCAGGTCAAAGATGACGTCACAGGGGTCGAAAAAGTCAAAATGGCGGCGCTAGATATGGAGAGTTTTTCTCGAATAACTTTCGAATTAGTCAAGATAGGAACAAACTAAGGGCATCATCGTGATCCTCTCGTCAATCCGCATCGAATGATATATATGTTGACCTCGAAAGGTCAAGGTCAAAGGTTGACCTCAGGTCACGTGACCTCGAGGTCATCATGTATATCATTCGATGCGTCTTGACGAGCTGAACACAATGAGACCATCCACGCGTCTGTATCTTGTTCCTGTACGGAGTTATTGGCCAAAAACCTTTGGTGACCTTTGATGACGTCACATGACCTCACAGCTGCCCAACAGCAAAACAGACCTCAAGGTAGTGAAGGTTGATCGTATATGAAGTCATGTATGGTATATGGGGCCATTCCGACCCGTTTTAGTGGTAAAAACAGGGAGTTGATTTTTCCCCCATTGACTTATAATGGGGAGGTCGCGAAACTGACCTGACCTTAGGTCACCGATATCAAAATTCCGAGATATACAAATTGCACATACTGGTACCCTAACTAAAGCCTGAAGAGAAGAAATCGATCGGTCAAAAACTCTAGCTCTGGCGTGATTGCAAACTTTTCTGAGGTAGGGTCACCAAACCGCCTCTGGTGACCTGACCTGAGGTCAGATCAACTAAAAATTTTCAGACCTGTTGCGTAGAAGCCTTTTGAGAAAAGTCACAAAATTTGAGCTTCCTAGCTCAACGCGTTTGGGAGAAATAACCAAAAAACCTCAGGGGGGGGGGCTCCTGTGACCCCCCCCCCCCCCGCCAGGAATAGGGTTAACGCATAAGTGATATTGCGATAAAACATACTCGGTGGTTACTGCAAGAGACTTTTCAATCGTTTCTCGACATTGCCCGAGCAAGGTTGCCCATGCAGTGATGACAGTAGCGTGAGTCTCCTAATGGACAGTGATGGCGACCCTACCATTATAGCTGTGGCGCCTGACCTCTGATAGCCGCTCGAAGCGCGCCCTGATACCTTTGAGCCACCGCAGGCGCTCACCGAACTGCCGAAGCGGCCGGCGGTCCGGCGGGCCGGGCTCGTTGGCGGCCGCGCTGCGGATCCGCGCCGGTTCTCGCTGATCCGCACTGGCCATTTCTGGCCGCGCTGGCCACCACCCAGTGTTTGCCGGGTGTCTTAGTGCCGCTCAGTGCCCTGAGCTGACACTAAACACGGTGGCTGTCTCCGCAGCGCCGCGGCGGCCGACTCAGTCCCCGCGGCCGGCCGGCGCCGACCCGCCCATCTGCATCGATAATGCCGCCGGGCCTGTCGTCGTCGCTGTCGTTTTGGTTCAAATGACGCGTGACTCCAGCGGCGTCCATTTCCGAATTTCGTCCGTGTCGACTCGGACCCTGCCACAGCTGCCAGACGGGTGCGGTGCACAAACCGTCCCATTTTCATCTGAAAGCAGATGTTTGATTAGATCGAAACCCAGGGCCAATGAGACGTGAAACTGCAGCCAGCTGATGTCCAGGGCGTTCCAGGTCACTGGCAGTTTACAGCTAGACGTGCAAGCATTCGCCGACCCGATAAAACCAGACCCGAACTTTCCGTCGATAGGCTGACCTCAGAGGTCAACGGGTACCTGAGACCTGTAAATACTAAATTTGCTATCCTTAGTTGCGTTTTAAACGGTCTACGCGTTTGGGCAAAACTCAAGCTAAATGAGAAGCGAAATGGCAAGGAGAAAGCAACGTCCCCTCGGCGGAGTGGATGTAAAAATCTGCATCAATAGGTCTAGCTTAGGCAAAATATTCAGAAGCATTTTACCCTTTTGGATCTGCTTACGACCGAGCTATTGAGGCAGCATTGTCAGGTTTTCATAAGTAATTAAATGTTAATCTGCCATCTTGATCACACCTGATCTTGTGACCAATTGACACTTTGTAACAGTGTTCGCCACGGGCCCCAAAATCCCCAGCCCAGCCCGGCCCGGGCCCATGGGTTCAGAGCCCGGCCCAGCCCGTAGCCCGCTCTTGGCAAATATGTCCAAGCCCAGCCCGGCCCGGACCGTCAAAAATAGCAATCTAGTTATTGTCTTAATCTATTGCTATAATAAGCATGATTGATTACACTATTTTGAGAACAATTCAAATTGCATGAATATTAACATGGCAATCATGACTGCCTTCTTTTCAATGAATATAATCATTTCAAGTACCTATGGCATAAATTTTTACAGTAACAGCAAGCACCTCAGTTAATTAGGTCATGATTACACACCTATAAAAAGTAAACATGATTATATTAACTACATTCTATGAGTAAAGTTATCTTGCAAGCTGATGTGTGTGAACATTATCATGCATAATTGGTGACTCTAATGCATACTTGAAGGAAGTATTTGCAACTTACTCTATACTTCCCAGCACTTACCAGCAGAAAAAAAGCTTGACTTATGGGAATTGATGAATCTGTCTGGGATTGACCTTGCTGTTAAATTCACTCCATTGATGCTGCAATATCAAAAGCCTGAGAAAGCATACAAAATAGGTGACACTAGCTTTAGCACTGTCTTCCAAAAAAAGAGAAAATCCATCCATTTATCAGCAAAACCGATTTAATCTATTTTCAATTCATGCCCACGTGTCAACCGAATCTCTCTGTGGACAACTATCTGCTGCTTTCCTTGCTACTTTATGTTAGGCTCCTTTCAAGATATGGATATCGCTAGCAGCGTAAGCAGAAAACATGGTAAGCTTGAAATGTCATTGGGTACTTTTGCGACTTTTACGCATCATCATCATCAATTGAAAATGAACGAACACTTATTGATTGTCGCTGCTGCGGCAGGTAGCGATTCTGACCAATTGTATAATAAAACATATATGATCAAGTTTTTTTTTTTTGTTTTTCGTTCGAGTTTTCAGATTTCATGATTTAGGTATGTTTTATTTTTTATTTGTTTTATTTTGTTTTTCACCTTGATACTTACTTAACAACGTATTTATTTCATAAACTGTTGTGTATACTACCTAGATGCCGCCACATAAACATAGCGCCGCCATGATCGCAAATTTTGTTGAGAAGGGGCCGGTTTGTTGTGATTTATTTTGACAAATTTATGGACATTTAAAGAAGCTTTCATCGCGAAACACTCTGTAGAATTCCTCGTTACTTACAGTGTGTTTCGTGAGTATCCTTTTAATGTTCTGTTCGTTAAAAAGCCGTCGGTGAAGGAAAAAAGACTATGTTGGAATTGTCTCACTATCGCCACATATAAGTGTTAAACTTAATGTAGCCCTGTAGCCCATCATTTTGAGTGGCTTATTAGTTTTTGGAGTTGTAGTGCTAAGTAAGTTATTCTGATAACTACATTTTAACTTTTATTATCAAACTAATGATGCTAGAGGTTCTCTGATATTTTTGGTTGTGGAATCTTATGGAAAACCCTCCTATGTGTGACATGATGTGATATTGGATAATTCTCAAGATTCCCAAAATTCAATATCAAGTAGGTTTTCTTTCACATTGCTTAAATTTGGTTTAGTTTTAGTATTTTCCCAGTGTTTTTTTTTTTTGCATCAGTTTCCAAATTTTCTTAAATTGACATTAGTCGCAAAACCCATAGTCCACAAAGCTCTTGGCCCGGCCCGTCCATAGCCCGTTAACTAATGATATTTGGGGGCCCGGCCCAGCCCGTAGCCCAGCCCGGCCCATGGCCCGTTGGGCTGGCCCGGCCCGTGGCGAACACTGCTTTGTAATGACCCCGTCACCTCAATGTTTTCATTTGAAACTTGCGATTAACCCGCGCCCGGCTGGGGGTCCTGGATTTCCACGCCCTGCTGGGGGGGGGGGGGGTGTTTGAACACCCCCCCTTGTAACTCGGCTCCTGGGCCACGTAGCGATACGCGGAAGGCGGCGTTCGAAAGAGCGTCAAAAATAATGACGAAATCACTTCGGTCAATTTTTTGGTCAGGTCAAAGGTCAGGTCACCAGAGGTCATTGAAGGCAAAATTTCGCCGATTTCCAGGTCGAATGTCGAAAATTTCCAAGAAGCAAACGCATAACTCGAGAACCAATAGAGCTACAGCGCCGCGGAAAAGCGCATTCGATAGCCCTATTAAAGCCCTTTCTGAGTTATTCTCTCGGATTTGACCTAACGTCAACGGTTTTGCCTGCAGGGGGCAAAAACTGCAAAAATAGCCGATTTTTTTCGGAAATGGTTTTTCTGCAATAACTTTTGACCCAAGCCTTGTACGAGCTTACTTTTACCGGCATTGTGTTCCTCTCATCAAGACGCATCGAATGAACTATAACTTGACCTTGAAAGGTCAACTTGAAAATTTGACCTCAGGTCAAGGTCATGACCTGACCGGAAAGAGTCATGTTGCATATCAGTCCATCCGTATCGTCGAGCTGAACACATCTAAGGCGTTTTCATCGCTCTACCATGCCTCTATCAAAAGTTATTTGCGAAAAACTGTTAGATACCATTCGTGACCTAAGATGACCTCAGGGCATAAACAAGGGTCACGGACACCATTTTCATGTTCAATATGTCTAAACCACTTGTAATTCGGTGTTTGGGAGTGTTTATAATGTCTTTAGTCCAAAAGAGGCGCACTTCAATTTTCTCCCATTGACTTATAATGGGGAGGTCGCAAAATTGACCTGACCTTAGGTCATCGATATCAAAATTCTGAGATATACATTTTGTACATGCTATAGCTCTTAGCAATCGCTGAAAGTTTCAAAGCGATCGGTCACTCGGTGTAGCTATGGCAGACATTGAAACTTTTTATGAGGTGAGGTCACTTCAAGTGACCTGGTGACCTAACCTTGAATGACCTTGGTGTGAAATTTTCACAACATGTGCAGAATTGATGCATGGTAAGGTGTACCAAAAACGGCGGGCGCGCGCAGCGCCGCCGTTTTTGAGATATTCGCGAAAAACCACAAGGGGGGTGTTCAAACACCCCCCCCCCCCCAGCAGGGCGCGGGTTAAGCTTATAGTAAAACTCATTAGGATGCTTTGAATGGAAGAGTTAGCAGAGCCGAAGACCACGCTATACAAAACTTGTTAGGCAGTCTCCGATCGGGAAATTCCGGGTTAATTTAGAGGTTATAAAGTTTAGCGTACCTTCATCCTCCCACTTCAACTAGCCTCGGCGGCTCCTATCAAACGAGAACTATCCCCGTGAGTTATCTCCACATATCGTTCTCCGGTGCGACTTGCACCGATGCTGAATCATCAGAAGTCGAGCTCTCTCCCAACTAAGATGAGTAGGACTGCCCCGTGACCTGGAAACTTGAATTGAGTGAAATGTGCCCGAACTAACGACACAGCTAAGCCATTCAGTCATTTGATCACAAACTTCATTTCTATTCACACCATAGCCTTCGAGTGCCATTCGTATGCTTTCTAGTCAAAGCACAGAAACTAAGTTATCCAGGCTTGGTTTCAGCATCCAGCGGGACATCGAAGATCAACAGGTTCGACTGGGCCGGGTCAGAAAGATTTACAGGTGCCGATTGCATTCTTCTCGTCCCTGCTTTGGCACCCAGGAGAACCATTCCAATGTACAGAGCTTCCACCGCTCGGTTCCTTGGAGGACCGACAACACGCATCTGGCCACATATGATCAGAGCGAGCTGCAGCTGTAGAAACGCGCTGACCAGCGCGTAATATCAGCGCCAGAAAAGCCTCTCAGTCTACCACCCTTGTGGCGCAGTTGGCAAATGCGTTCACGTTTGGTGTGGGAGGCCCTTGGATCAAAGCTGACCTCTCGCAGCGTTTTCCTCGGCCGGCTCCTACCCAGGAGATGGCAGTAACTGGGGAGTGTTCGCTCGGTCGTGGGGATTACCGCTGTGCCAGCCAGCGCCCCCGGCCGCAGGTACACGGGCCTGATCCGCCTTTAAACAGATCCTTCGGTCCGGTGACATGTCCCGAGGGCACGGCCTCGCTTCATGTCCCGGAGCAGCCCTCTGACCTGCCGGGCCCGAGAAATCGGGATAGCCCCAGCGTGCGCACCAGTGCGGTGCCACCTGGGGCACGTGAAAGGAAGCGTGCGGTCAAGGCTGTCCCGCGTAGCGGGTGCCGAAAACGATCCGTATCACTGCCGTGTATATAGTGTACTAACCCAGTATGAATGTGTGCTACTAACGACAAAAGCCCAGGTCGGGCACCAAAAATATTAAAAAAAAGCCTCTCAGTCTCCCAAAGCTGAACTCTGACGTCAATCAAAGCTGCAAAAAGCGCACGGTCTCCTGCGGTTACCGCTGGCCACTCGAGGCGCAATGCAGCGAGATCATATTTCAGCGAGCCGTCTGTGATCCCGGCGCTTACTTCACGTCCGACTGAGGCGAATCGAGCCGCGGAGAATGATGGCGTCTGTTTTCGAGACAAACACACTGTGTTTATTCGTGTGTTTATCCCAGCGGTAGAGGCGTCGGATCCAGTATACGACACTTCAGGGATCCTGTTACACCGAAAGTTGGTGCCAGAGGAAACAGGGTTCAGGGCCTCGTTTCATAAAACTCTGCCGTAACTTACACCTTTCCGTAATTCACACCCTTTCAAACTACGGAGCGCAAATAAATCCGTTTCACAAAGCCACAACTGGAATTGTTTACACCTCCGTAACTAGGCACATTTGCGTAGTTACCGTAATTTATCAAGCGTCCTACAAATTACAATTTCATGTCAACACTTATTTTTTTTACGAGAATTTATAAAACAATTATGTTGAATTTAAATCTTAAAAATTATGTATGAAAAAACAAAATTGATATTGATGACCATCCTTTATTAAAACAATATATTAAAAACAGCAGAAAGCCAGCTAAGCAGAAGTGCCTAACTACGAAAGTGGCGCGGTGCGGCGAATAAACAAAATTCCGATAGTGGCCACAAAAAGCGACTGATACAGAAGATTTGCAGTTTCTTTTTCTCATTTTGGCTGTTCTTTCTTCCTCACCGGGCTCAACATTATAAAATATATCAAAAATTAGCTTCGAATCTTCACATTAATTCAAAATCACGCAACATTTTTGTGCGTAGTTTACACCACTGATATCAAGAGCTTGATAAAATATTTGGCGTTAATTACGTCGTTTTATGAAACCCAAATGGCATCAATTGGTCCGGAATCGAGCATTTGCCGTAAATGAAGCTCCGTACTTTCGATGGCGTGAATTACTCCGGTCTCCGGCTTTATGAAACCGAATTGGCATCAAATACGCCAAATCTGGCATAATTGACGGAACGCCGTAAGTAATTCCTTTTATGAAACGAGGCCCTGCTTACGATAATGCTATCGATGTCATGCGAATGTCATTGATAAAAGAAGTACAATGAATAACAACACAGTTCTTTATTTTGCGTCCTATGATAATCTTTTCTTGCTTCACCTGTGTTGGCTGTGTTGGCTGTGTTGTGTGGAGTTGCAAAATATAATTAATACTTTTTATATAGAGGGAGATACTTCTACATGTGCCTTTCTTGATCTAGTGAAAACATGCAGCTCTACTTTAGACTGCCTCGTCTACGTCAGTGCCGCTTTTTGTCGTGTGTTTTCAGTTGCGCCTCTGAGCGTCTATGAGTGTATACTGTATTTCCCAGAGTCACCTCGCACCATCCCGTGTCTGTGTGTTTCCAGTCGCGCCGCTGAGCGTGTCCATCCTGGGCAAGGGTGAGCCGCTGTCGGCCGGTCGCCGCTACCCGCTCGTGTGCCAGTGTGTCGGCTCCCGGCCCCCTGCCGCCATCACCTGGTTCCTGGGCAGCTCACGGATGGCCACCGCACCCGGCACGGTAAGTTACCGCTCTATTACCATGGTAACGCGACCCATGAAAGTGACTAGCAGGCCTGGTAACGTAAGTCAGTGTCATTTAGCATGGTAGATTACCGTAATGTGGTGCCTACAGCGCCAGGCATTGTAACTTACCGTTGTAACACACGAGTATTAATATGGTGGCATGTAATTTGTTTGGCCATCGTGACAGCTGTTGGATGCCATTGTGCGGTGCCGCGGCATTACAATGCTGCAGCTGCCTTCGCCATTACTTCGACTCTTTACCTAGTTTGTCGGTTACTCATTGCGTGTGTTCAATTCGACTAGGCTTCTTGCATCAGCGACGAATAAACCTGTGATTTGCATGAAGAGAGCACTCGCGTGTCTACTGCTTGGTATAAACTGATAAGAGATGCGCATTATAGGTAGGGACGTTTGGCTTAGTAACAGCATCAGCCGCTTTTATAATGAATTGCAAATGCAATGTGAGTATACGAGTATTGCAGTAATGGCTGATTTTTAATTGTATTTTGTGTGTAGAGTTTTAGTTATTCTACTAAATATGATGGAAATGAGCTGCCAGGAAACGAGTAACAAGGCAATATGAATGAAATGAAATTTAAATGAATGTAAAGCCGATTATGTAAATAGATTGAGCATCTTGCATGCATTGTTAAACGCTTCGAAAACTAAGCACAGTTAAATACTTGTAGGGCCTTGGCGTTTACACTGACAACTTGCTCGGGGCCACGCCGACGTGCGATCTGACCACTGACCACTCCAGTAACAGTCGGCCACTGCCCCGAGAACACAGGTCAGGCAGTCAGTCCTCCTCTCATATACATCCTCGCACATCCTCCGTCAGCAGCTCCCTCCATCTTCCCCTATTGATCGACGGCACAAGAAAATTGCCTGGAAATGCCCGGGAAATAGAATGAGATATGATCGTATGGAAAATAGGATCGGCCGCGGCGCGGCGCGCTGCGTTTGAATAGGCCATCCCCCGGCGTGGGATGGCCGACTCGATCGGGGGATAGGGGGTAGGGGGTCATGAGAAGTTATCCGGCGGACGGCAGAAAGCAGAGAGGCACCGTCGAAGCGCCTTACGTCACGCGCCAGAAATGAATTGAAACTCGACGTTGTGCCAGCCAAGAAAGGAGCGCGTATTGGAAAGGATGAGAATGATGAGCTGTGTGTAAGAGCTTAAACCTTTGAGTAGTTTTATGATAGCTTGGTGGGTTTGAAACAAATGAGCCAAAATATTTGCTGCATGAACTCTTATTTTAGTAGGTTTCAGCCTTTACTCATGCGCATGTGATGTGTCTATTTTGTGTATATGTTTCCATAACAGAAGCGTGTGGAGCTCGCACAGCGCATTTGGGCTTTTTCGGGGATGCTTCATCATAAGCGGATGTTCAACTATCAGCTTATCCAAATTCAATAATCACTTTATGCCACCGTACAGTGGCATGCGAATAGCTTTGATGAATGCCATCTGACATGCTTACACCCCTTACCATGTCAGTCAGCCCCACCGCTTGTTGTCAGCGCTGCAATGCGCCGAAGGAAGAGTCGGCAGGTTTTCCACAGGAAGAGCCGACAAGTATTCCAGGGCGAGAGTCGGCTGCTTCTCAAGGGATGGCCACAGTGCCGCCGTCCAGATCTAATTTCAACTCTGAATAGGCAAAGGTCTTGGCGGACCCTTGGAACACAAAGGTAGTAGACAATTTATCCACACACCGGAATTGAATTACGCACGACTTCTTGTTGAAAAGCAGCCCACTCAGGATCAATGCTGAAATGAGGACGCATTTTTATGAATTGAGGATTGACACTCGCTGACATCTACACCAATTTATGAATACCATTTGAGCTTAACATCGTCATCGTCAATATTTAACATCCAGACAAGAAATTAAGGTCAAATGGTAGTTGAAAAAGTGTGTTGCACTATTGCATGTATTATTCACGACACGTTGCTTCGTGGAACGCAATAGTGGCACTACCTCCTTCTTATCCCCACATCAGATAACTAGAATGACTCATGTTTTTTTTTTGGTAATGGGTGTACAAGTCCTGACACATTGTCAACATTGGAGCTCGTCCAAAATGCCATTGGCAGATTATTGATGATGTGGCTCTAACAGGGGAAATGCCATGCTCTGATAGCCACAAGCCACTGGTTTTCCCTTGAGATGCACGACCCAAAAATGTTTATGTGATATTGTGATGCCAGTGTCTTCCCCGCTTCACACGACAGGCTATTTTTTTTTTGTTGCAAACTTACTGTATCCTCGTGAAGCCTGTTTTTCAAGCTAAGAAAGTGTTTACTCACTTGATTTGTCAACCATATGATGCGGTGAATATGTTAAGTGTGTTTGCTTAGTATTTTCAACACTACACATTCATAACACTTTGGGATGTATGTAAACACGGATCTTTCACGCAAAAACGGCAGTCAATGTCGCATCGTAAGTTAAGTGCTTTCTTATTAATATCTATATAGATTAGATATCATTGATAAGTTCGGACCATTGAGCTCACTTGTCACGACTAGCTTGTTATCGCCCCCTATGTGTTACAATGTGCTGTAAATGATCGGCAGAGCCCACGCCATCGATTCTTCTGGGAACATAGAGCAACAGTCAGTAATAGCCAATACAGGTCGCCGCTCGAAGCGTCGTCACCCGACACCAGACCATTCTATACAAATCGGAACATTTCTGACCCGGCGCTCCCGGATCATAGCCGATGACAGCGAAATTAATGGCACTTCTACCATTGCGCCGAGAAACGACGCGCAAAAGCGCAGTACCTACCTAACCCGATGTGCCGATATGTGGACATATCATCGATCACGTGAAATGCGTGGGCGCCGTCTCAGTCATCACTTTTCATAACAATTTACGATAGTAATAGTGATGCTATTTTATGAGGACAAAGTCATGAGACATGAACCATTACTCTCTTTGGAGCATCATGATTTACAGAAAACCCCACATGCTCGTAGAACGTGTCTCGATAGCACCATAACCAGACAGAGGTAACAAATAGGACAGGAAGACACGAGAAGACCAAAATGGCGCCCGTATATTACGAGTTGTGGCCGTTGGGCTTTGAATGGGCATCACTGAACGGAAGAGACGGGACAGTGCGAGGAAATGCGAACAAAGAGCAGCGGGAGACGAAGGACGGGGGTACGACGCGACGGAAATAGCCGTGCGTGAACAAAGAGACGATGTATCATGACCTGACAGTGCAGTTTAGATCCTTCGGCTCCGCTCGGATACGGCTTTCCGTTCACCTGATCGGCCTCTCGGGACTGAATAAGGATATGCGGTAATGAAGAAGGCAGAGAGAGAGAGAGAGAGAGAGAGAGAGAGAGAGAGAGAGAGAGAGAGAGAGAGAGAGAGAGAGAGAGAGAGAGGGAGAGAGAGAGAGGGTGAGCGAGAGAGAGAGAGAGAGAGAGAGAGAGAGAGAGAGAGAGAGAGAGAGAGAGAGAGAGAGAGAGAGAGAGAGAGAGAGAGAGAAAGAGAGAGAGAGAAAAAAAGAAAGAGAGAAGACAAGGGATCGGAGAGATCGATCAGAGAACTGAAGAGAGACCCCCTACACCCGCCTCACACGGCATTACGCACATGTTTGAGTAGGCCGTGCTGTTTTGGATTAATGAACAGACTTAGACGACTGACATAGGAGGCAGATATATCACTCCTTTTGTTGTCGTTGTACGCTTTTTATGGTATGACGATTTGCTAAATTTACTGCATGGATGTTTCAGGAAGGAGTACGAAACGTGGACTGTAACGACCTAAATATGTTGTTTTATTTTTCTTCTTGGTAATTAGGGCGAGAAACAAACAAAAAACCTGCGGTATTTTCTTGATTTGAGAAATAATTTCAGGATGTTTGCGATTATACCTTCATTGATAAAATGATACACTTCTTTGCACTACAATGTAGACCGAGGATCGTATATCTATCACCGGGATGTTTCCGTCAGTTCCAGCTAAATTTCTTACCATAAGCTGACACAATTTTGCTGATTATTTGATCAAGCGGACTTTTTGTTATGAGTCCCTTTATTTCATCATCAAATATAGGCATTGGCAGCGCGTTACCACAGAACGTGTGATATCGGCTGGGGTATCGTCGTTTTTCGCCGTGTATCTCCATAGCTCCAACCTCCAAAGTTTCCGCTCAGCCGCTATGTTTGGAGACCGTGTTGGCCCAGCCGCGGGCCGGGAATCGATCCGGCGGCCGGCAGCGGCGTTTTTGTCACGCCCCAGGCGTCCCCGAGGTCACCAGGCGGGCGCCGCGCCCGCCAGCCAGCCTTTAGAGAGTGTTTGAGGTGCACTTGGCGGCCACTGGCGGCCCTCCGCTGATGAGGGCACCCGCCTCCCGCCCCGGGCGCACCCGCACCGACATACATGGGCGCGCCCGCAGCCTGTCGGCGGCAGAGTGAAGGAGCTACACACGGCAGAATGCGGGAGTGGGCCCATCAGTCACAGAATGGGAGAGGGTCATTCGCGGGAGAGCACATTTCTAGGCTGGTGCTGGAGGCTTATGGCAGGAAGGTGGCTTGGATATCAACAAAGCAGCTAAACTTTCGAAGTTTGGTCTCTCTCTCTCTCTCTCTCTCTCTCTCTCTCTCTCTCTCTCTCTCTCTCTCTCTCTCTCTCTCTCTCTCTCTCTCTTTCTCTCTCTCTGTCTATCTCTCTCGCTCTCTCTCTATCTCTCTCTCTCTCTCTCTCTCTCTCTCTCTCTCTCTCTCTCTCTCTCTCTCTCTCTCCCTCTCCCTCTCTCTCTCTCTCTCTCTCTCGTACTTACTTATCCCCCTCTCCCTTCCTCTGTCTCTGCCCCTGTCTCTGTCTGTCTTTCTTTTTCTATCGCTCTCTCTTTCTCTCTCTGCTCTCTGTGCCTTTCTTTCTATCTGTCCCTCTCTTTATTTCTCTCTATTTCTCTCTCTCTGTCTTTTTTTCTCTTTTTTTCTCTTCCTTTATCTCTATCTCTCTTTCTCTTTCTCTCTCTCTCTCTCGTTCTCTTCTCTCCCCTTCACTCTCTTTTTTCTCTCTCTCTTTCTCTTTCCTCTCTCTCTCTCTCTCTCTCTCTCTCTCTCTCTCTCTCTCTCTCTCTCTCTTCCTCCTGAATCATGTCTATTAATTCCCAAAAACACTCGGCTAGATGATCCCTCACCAGACTGCGTGATTAAGAATTGATTTTGATGCATTGCGATGAAAGGATTTCGTCAGCCATAATTAATGCCAGCTGTCCGGATGGTTCTGCGGGATCTGGCCGCCGCCACCTTTCGAAGACTAATCACACGAAATGTATCGAGCGGCAAACTTGGCCAAACTGAAACAGAGGTTGTTCAAGAGTTGGGAATACATTTGAATACATTCATTTTGCCGGCTCTGCCAAGTCATAGTTTCATTTGTTATCATTATTTCGCGCGATGTCGTGGGCCCAGCTGGGGCGGTTGGCGGCAGTGGTAGGTCGCTGTTCCTCTGTTCGGCCCGCTGACGGTCCTGTTTGCCACAGAAGACGACGCACAAGGGGAACGTGACGCTGACGACTCTGCAGTTCACACCGCGGCCCGAGGACGACCAGAAGGTGCTCTTCTGCCGCTGCCAGAACCCAAAGGTGCCCTCGGCCACGCTCGAAGATTCCTGGCAGATCGTCGTGCAGTGTGAGTACTTGCCTGCAATTTACATAACTATGTGACGATCGGGTCAAACGCAGGGATTGGACTGTGGGGTGTGAGTACTTGCTGTAGGCGTAAATGTCTGAATATTTTCACGATTTCTGCAGCGTCTGGATATATGATTCAGGGATTCGAATATCCGAGGATGGGAGACGGTGCGTTGACTAAAATGCATAACATTTAAGTGTTCTTTCTGTGGTGACTGTATAGCTATCAGGGGCAACTCCAAGTACACGAATGTTACTGTCAGTTTTCCGTGATTGTCATCAAGCCTGAGTCGCCCAAACATAAACGTAAGCATAATAATGCTATTTATTACGATCATAAGTCATAACTGTCCGTTCAATAACAATTATTAACCACGAATCACGATCACTATTTTCAATACCAGTCACTATTTTCAATACCATAAATGATTACACATGTGCACAGGTGTGTCACGACACATATGTACGACACATGACACATGACACATACGACATATGAATGTGTATGTGACATATGTATGTGACATATACGACACATGACACATACGACGATATGTACGACACATGACACATCGACACCTTTTTTTAAACCCCACATTTGTTCTCCCGTGAAGTTCAGACAAGTTGTTTAGAAACCTTCAAAAAGGTACAGTCACTCGATTTTTCTCAAGTTTGTCTGTCTTAGCAGATCAAGCAATGCCAGAGCAAGCTTACGAACACACAAATTTGATCAGGATCGGACGATTGGACACTTCTTAAAAGAGATCTTTCGTGCTTCCCGGAAATTCACCGGAGAACAGATGTGGGGTTAAAAAAAGGTGTTGACATATGTGTCACGATAAGAAAAAAATAATTTGTCTGCTGGAGCAATATCGGGTTAAATACCTTGTGCCAAGGCATGCAACGCAAGACATTTTGGGCAGCTTCGTAGTACGCTCGCCATAGCAGCAGCATTTGTAATAATTACATTCTGGAGGAAGTCGGGTACCCTTTGGATCCGTTTCATGTTAAGTGACCTAATCAGATATTCGAACCGGTGACATTCAGCCAGCTCTAGGAGAATCCAACGGCCGAGTGCTGCGGGCGGCCCCGGATTTTATGCAGCCGTCGCCGTTCAGAGAATCACAGGCGATCGTTGAGATAACTTTGAGCGCCCTCCAGTTCGGTCCAAGGCCGGGAACTGCACGCGGCCCGCTCATTGAGAGCGCTCCGATCCTCTTGTCCTCGATTGGGGGGCACTCATTTGGCGTCTGGCGGCGGCAGGAGCCACCTCAGCGGAATCTAGCTCCTGACTGAGCCGTCGAGCCTTCCGGGCTGCACCTGCGGCCACCTGACCGGCCTCTCGCTACACCAATAGCGATCTGCTGCCATGTGCGACAGACCATTGACCAACCGGATTCTGCGAATGTCGCAATGGCTGCTATTACACCTCATCGCACCTCATATCAGCCCACACGCGGGTGGTGTGATCGCATTTCCTCCTCCACTCATCGCATCACGATTCTCCGTACGCGCAGCCTCTCACCGAATCGCTGAACTGCGCGCCGGTGTCGCCCACCCACCCCTCCCTCCCTCCGTTGACACCTGTGCGTCTGTTGGCACCTGTCCGGCTGTTCCGCCCCTCGTCGTGTCGGCACGCCCGTGTCGGTGACGAGGTGTCGACGACGCCGTCGTCGGCGATGAGCGTGACAAGACGCCGCCAGCAGGCGAGCTTCCTTCTGGCGATCAATACTGGCAGAGACGGACGCCGCCGGGCCGGCGGGAGGAGCGGCCCGGCCGACCGCCGGTTTCAGCAGCACGGACCGCGGACGGAAGGGTCCGGTGGAGGACTGAGGACTGCCGTAACCGGACGGAGGACAGAGGACGGACGTAAGGTTTCCGGCGGAGGACAGACGGGGACTGAGGGCTGCTGTAACCGGACGGAGGACAGAGGACGGACGGGATCCGGCGGAGGACTGAGGACTGCCGTAACCGGACGGAGGACAGAGGACGGACGGGATCCGGCGGAGGGTGCGGGAGACGGAGGACGGACGGGGTCCGGCGGAGGATGTGGGGGACGGAGGACGGACGTGACGGGTCCGGCGGAGGACAGACGGGGACGGAGGACTGGCGGGGGCGGAGGACGGGTGGGGTCCGATGGAGGACAGAAGGGGACAAAGGACGGGCGGGGTCCGGTGGAGGACAGAGGACGGACGGGGTCCGGCGGAGGGTGTGAGGGACGGAGGACGGACGTGAGGGGTCCGGCGGAGGGTGTGAGGGACGGAGGACGGACGTGAGGGGTCCGGCGGAGAAAGGACGGACCGATAATTAACGGAGGACGGACCAGGAATGATCGGGGTCCGATGGAGAAAAGAGGACGGAACGGACTGACTCGCGACAGAGGACGGACCAAAGACTTCGGTCGAGGGCGGGTCGTTAAAGAACAGGAATACAGTGAGGAATGGAGGGCGTCGGCTGAGCATACCTATATGAGACGGTTGTTGAGAGAGAACAGCATTATGTTGATGACTCGAACTGCTGCTGGGATAGAGCAATGGTCTTCTGTTGACTGGGAATAGCGGCAGCTGTCTGCTGAGGACCTAGGACAACTGTTCGTTGCCAGCTGAGGTCAGCGCACAGCTAAAAGGGACTGAGGACACTGAATTATAACACTGCAACTGCTATTCTGAAAACTGTCAACTGGCACCAACTGGCACAAAATGCAAATTGGTCTATATTTTGACACAATATAGCGCATGTGTCAGGATCACGAGGCAAGGATAGTCGGACGCATTGAACAAGTGTTGCGGGCGCACGTAATATGCCGGTAACTTGTCCGGGCTGCGACATTATGTTAGCTGAACAAAGCAACATAAGTTCAAGCCAGTCGTCAACATTTTTCCGCTGAAACAGGCGCGGCTGTTATGTGAAATGTTCCCAGCAAATTATATAGCCATGAAGTTCAGTGGCGACCACAGCTATATTAAATCATTGCTGAGAGCTTATCAATATTTGTGGCTGAAAAGGGACTGCATTATTTCAGAGTCACAAGAGTTGGCATAGATTATTTGTTTACTTAAATGTTACTGTGAGGCTGCCGCAGAGACCTTTCCCCTACAAAAAAAATTAGTCCCTGCCGAGCGTAGTGCTGGTTGGATTTTTCTTGATAACTAAATATAGTTAATATTGTGTGTACTCCTATGCGCTTCCGCTAAACAAAATCGAATTAGCATGACGCCGATCTCAACTTTACCAAAGTGATCTGTCTATTTCGGAAGACTTCTCATGATTCAGAGCTCTCCCGGGAACTTGGCGTTATCAGTTGCGCCAATGAAAATGACCACGGAAAAGTTAGCCACGGTTATATATCAAATCCCTCCTTCATAATGAACTCGGAGAAAGTGTCAAACTGAAAATCCTTTCCGCCACCTAAGTGAGACTATCTCGGCACACTCGACTGTGGATGACGCTAAATGAAAACTGGAGTGCGACAGTCGTGAAAAATGGCTCAGAAGATTTAACCGTCTTTTTGAGTCTGCGTTCTCTGCGGCTGAGCCCGCCATGAAAGTCATATGTAGAGTTACAATAGAGGTGGTTCGGGCCGGCTGTTGTCGCTCTGATGAAGTGGAGTGTGGAATGGAATTTGGAGTGGAGTGGAGTGCGCTTCCACGGCGCTAAACACGGCGGGTGCTGTTTTGCGGGCACTTGAGACGCTCGAGTGCCTCCTGTTGATGCCTTGTGGTCTTGGGCCGGGGGTCTGAGTGAGTGCAGCCAAAATGGAGTCGACGTTCTGATTTTTCGGGGCATATTGGCGGTAGGTTATTAGTATGAGAATTGAGGCTCTCCTAATTTTCACGAAATGTAAAATGTGTGTTAGTGTTAGTAGTAGGATAACTTTTATCATTTGTACAAATGGAAGAAGATAGGTACGTGGTGCATAATTGGAAACGGAAATGCTCAAGTCTGAAGACGGATCATTTTCGTCGCTTGAGCTTCATCAAAAGCTGATGGCTTTGCAAAATCATGCTATTTCACATCGGCTGACCGTACTTTCTATCTAGTCACCAAGTTAACCCTATTAGTGGCAGGCTCCTGGCTACCCCATATTAGTGACAGGGGGGGGGGGCTGTTTACGACCCCCCTTGATATCTCGAGATCTAACCGGCCGATTTTCAAAATTCAAACGGCATTCGATTTCGCTCAACGAGATCTACATTTCTAAAAAAAATGTCAATAGGGGGGTAGAGGGGGTAAAAACGGGCAAATTGCAGATACATTTTAGACTGTTTATCACGGCCAGGTTTCTGAACCAATCTTAACGCAACTTTTGCCGATCGATAGAGAATGAACCAGGAATTCACATGGATCCTAAAAATATGCATTTTCAAAAATCATAGGCGGATACAGATCATTGAGATTGGGGGTACACAAAAAGTATAGTAAATAAGGTTTTGTTGGTACTGTTTCTAAAAAGGGTGGCAATGGCTTGTTATGTTACAATTTTCTTATGAGAGAACGACTAAAATTGTATTGGTCATGCATAGGCGGTGTCAGGGCACCTATGTTGGGAGGTAAAAAATAACCCCCCTTTTTGGACGCCTGGATCCGCCTATTATAGCAAAAACGTGTCAAAAGAGGATGCACAATAACTTTGTACCTATATGTTATCACATGATACCTTTCATTCACTGTTCGTAAAACTGGTGCAGCATCGTGATCTTCGCCCAAATGACTCGCTTCACGAATAGGACCCCCAATTCCCAGTGCTCTGGAGCCGCCCCTGGTAAAGTTATGAACTTGAAATTTTCAGGGAATGTGCCCAATTTAGTTTGAGGAAAAGTCAGAAAATTTCAGCATCGTAGCTTCAGCGGTTTCGGAGATATTCCCGAAAAACCTGAGGGGTGGATAAAAACAACCCCCCTGCCACTAATAGGGTTAAACGGCTGAATCATCTCCGATCATCTTCGTCACAACTTGAAGGTGACACATGATATTGAGGCATCAGGAAACGTCAACACTCATCGGCTTACGGCTTTTATTGCTTGCCAACATGAATATCGGCTAGACTCCGTAATACACATCGACACCGCTGTAAAAACAACCACCCAATATGACGTTGATGAGAACAGCTTTAGACAAATAATGCAAATTGGGAACAACAAGCAAATGATGGTTAGAATATCGCGGATGAAAAAAGTATGGCCGCAGCCTCGCTTAGCTGAACAAATAACCTGTGGCTAAACGGCTTAAAAACCTACTGCCGGAATCCACAACAACTCGATGGGTGTTAGCCTACTTCGTTTGTGTCTAAATTGTGTAAATTGTGTCTTCAGTCTTTTTATCTAACCCTTTGCGTAAGTTCACATATTGTTTGTGTTGCCTGTCTTTTCCCTGCAGACCTGCCTCGTGTCACCGTGACTCTGGGCAATTCTCTGGACCCGGCCCAGATCAAGGAGGGCGACGGCGTCTACTTCGAGTGCAGCATCAAGGCCAACCCGCCAGTGTACAAAACCGAGTGGAGACACAATGTGAGTAATGACTTTATCAACAACAAAAGAGTCGTTGAACGGCTGGTGGCTGCAGCATATCAATTCTTCCGTGGGTCTTACAGCATTATTTTTGCGATTTACATTATACCTACTAATGCTTGTTGATATGAGAATGGTCATAGATGTTTCTGAATTTGTTTATTTGTTAGTTGACGTCTCTTCGGAAGGGCTGCAAAGTCATGCAGGAGGCTGCCTTATAGTCGCAAAATATCGCAACGAGATGCAAATGCATGTACTTCTTCAAAGTTTCTTATTTCAATGATGAACGCCCACAAGCAAGTTATGGATGCGATCGTCGTAAAAAGGTCATCAAAAGACGTACGAAATTTTCATTTGACAGAATCGGCTGCTGGAGCACAGCGTGAGGGACAACATCATCATCAGCAACTACACGCTGGTGCTGCAGGACGTGAAGCGGTCCAGCTCCGGCGTATACATGTGCATCGGCTTCAACGTCGAGGGCGACGCCGAGAGCAACCCCATCTTCCTCGACGTCAAATGTAAGCGGTCCGCACATCGGTTCCGATTTTGACGTGGCTTTGATTGCCTGGTTAGGATTGGCGCATATTGGATCACATCATTGAAATGTTGCCTCACACGATTCGGTAATGTTTTATTAATTTATCATATTATAATAAAGCACTTACATCACTTACATTTAGGTCAATCCCTTCAAAAGTGACCTTTTTCATCTATCCATCAACCTCTAATTACTAATTAGTCACGTTGCCCTTCAAGAAACCAATCCGAAACATGTATGTCTAAAATGTGCCTGGTGTTACACCAGAGGGGCTGAAACGAGGCAACATCGCCAGCTTTTTAAGCTCCAAATTAAACCAGACACAAGCCCGTGGGATTGCACTTTGATTCACCATCGGCTTAGTGCTGCAAACACGCACCTAATTTAGCAAGACATCTGTATTCTTGCAACGAAGTCTGGCTTCTGTCTGCCGAAAACAACGAACTAATTATAACCTGCACGGAGACATTTGGATTGCACCTCAGTATGCCAATCGATATATCGCAAAGCATGAGGAGCTTGCATGCGTCAGGTAATTAGTTCCGCTTCCGACGTTGAATTCCTGGTATCGCGGACTGGCTGGCACTCCTTGTCATCAACATTCCTTGCCGGTCTGTCGTCAAACAGTTGACATCTCCGATTGTAAATGCGTATGCCACTGAAGACACCCAATTACTAACTGCGTTCCGCCAATCATTCAGCAAAGTGCGGGATGCGTCTCTGTAGCGCCGTAGCGCCGGAGATTGCCTCGGCGTGTGTCACATCAGGCCGGGAGTACGGGCCGTTCTGCGCTGGGCGTCGACGGACGAGCTCTCGATCGAGTGTGTGTGTTACGGGGGGGGGGAGGGAGGGGGAGCGTCAGCGGTGACGGGCGTGGCTGATCCATCGGCGTCAGCGCTGACCGGTGGCGCTGATCCATCGGCCGCCATCGGTCATCGGACCCGTCCGCGGCCGGCACCGCATCGCTGGCGCTGCGAGACGCGGGCGAGCGCATACTTCGCCAGACGTTCCCTGTAAACACATACTTTGTATGTAGGGCACCAGTCGGGAACTTACAGGGCACCATGTTATCCATGTTCGGCACTAGGCTATCACTCCCGGCAGTAGCTAGAAGTCTGATGTGACAGTTAACTTGAAGCCAAGTGTAGCGCCAATGAATCCCACTGCGATATTGCCTGGACATTGGTGCGTCTTCTATTGTAGCGACTGGAATGGCTGGATACAGTGCGTCCAATTACCAGTGGAATTTACAGTTGCGCAGATAGCAGATCACAGATGTTATGTGGAGATGTGATGTTATTGCAAGTTTGATATTGTGACTGTGTGTAGGTACTATTGAAACGGCCCCGCGTTATTTAGAAATAATGTAATAGCGTCTTTTGATGCGTGTAACGCCACAGCTTTGTTTTGCTTTGGCTTTCTTAGATGATCAAAAATAAGTATTGCAATTTTTTTTGCCAGACATAGACCTCAACCAAGCTTTTGTTCTGTAATATCGCTACTCGGCTACCATGTACCTATTTTTCAATGCCACGATCCAAAAGCTTACTCAAACATCTCAAACTCCCTCACTTCATCTGGTAAAAGGCTCACTATTATAGTGCTCACACAGTTGATTTAGCAATCATTTACTGGCTATGCTGTTCAATTTCCTGTAGTGTGTGACCGTCCCTCTCACGCGGTGTTCGATTCCTTTACTCGTGCGGCCAGGGGCCATTGGCGAACATTGTCGTGACGGAGTGGCCGACAATACTCGAGTTGGGCGGCGCCGTGAGCGCAGTAACGGCGGACTGGCCAGGTGATGGCGGCTGCATTGCCCCGGCCCGGGCGCCTCCGAAGTACCGCTGCCGATGAGACCGGCCCGCTGGGGAGCCGTCGACGGCCGAGGCGGCCGGTGAAAGAGGTCACCGACGGGGCAGGGCCAGACCAAGGGAAAGAGTAGGGGGGGGGGGGGGGCAGGTCGAGGGCCTATTGTAGAATAGGTGGGCTGAGCGTAGTTGCTATTGGAATGGGTGATTTCGGAGCTTGTCTTCCCGTTCCCGCGGCAGCATGAAGCACTTGACCATTGCATTCCCTAACTAGTTATTAATGACTTCATGTCTATCTGCAAATACATAAGAGTGCGTGCTAGGTGCTAATATAGATTTTACTTTTATAATGCACCGTCATATTACACCAACTGTCGCTAGGCCAAGGTGCTTTACTCCAACTACAGCACTTTACGGACTTCATGCTTTGATCACCGACTGGCGTAAGGTAATTTTATTCCCTTCGAAGTTTCAACAACGTTCTGGTGTGGTTACTGATCAGCCGTCACTTACCTACTTTAAGCGGATAGTCCTGGCGGCTATGTGCTTACCATTATGACATTGTTCAGATAAATTTGCGAGTTCTACCCCACCGGCACTTGCCATCCTGTACCATTCGTCAGGATAGGGCTTGGGGATTTGACGAGTCACCTCGCCTCGGTAAAGAAGCCATGCCTACTGCTTCATTCAAGAGCATGATAATTGAACCCCTAACCTTGATGACGCAAACGTTTTATTGGAAAAGGAGTTATACAATATTTTATTATAAGGTTTCGGTTCACCCGATGACCCCAATGGACGGGTCAGATCAATGGTCAGCGTTCCTAGTTTTTTTTTCTATGCGGAGGAACGAATGACTGAGGAGCAAATGGTCACATAAAATAGGTAGCAACATCCTCGTCGTGTGAGAAATGTTGTATTATGTGCTTTTGCCTCGCCGCAATATGTCAGAAGGCGCCAAAACATCTATACCAGAAGGCAAGAAAACTCACCCTGGTCCCACAATTCGCTCATCTCAGTCAAAATGACTTGACACATGGCTTTATAACTCGACAACTTGACATAACAAGACACCCATATTTTCCTGATGTTCGCCACTCGTCACTGCACACTGCACAGTGCCGCTCTCCACAATGGCCTCACAACGCTGGGCGAGATTCCCCTATGCCCGTCCGTCCAAGCCCCGTCCGTCCAGTCCGACCAGACAGACGTGACCGGGGTTCGTACCTGTCGGCACCGGCGAGAGCCGTCCGCAGTGGCCCCCGGGGACCGAATCAGTGCGGCGGCCCTTTGTGGACTGACCACCGGCCTTCTGAGGTCAGCGGCCGGTGACTCCCACCGGCCTCCTCTGACACAGAATCGGTCTGCAAACGTAGCAGCCCCGGCCGCGGACCGCGAGTGGGCGCAGTAATGTACGGAGGACGGCGGACACCGCTCGCCGTTCCCTTGAGCATCCGAGACACACCTGTGTGTGCGTGAGCGCCAGTGAGCGCGATGGCTTTCCCGAGATTGGCTGGCTTTTTGTGCTGCGGTCATACGGAGAGAAACTATTTAATAGCGTTACGCAACAAGAATGCAATATCGGTGTGCGTTTATTATTTCATATTCTCTTACGCAATAATAATGTGTGAGGAACGTTTTATAAATAGATAGGTTTATAAACAGATAGGAAAATGTTATAACAGTTCTTACAGGAAGGTGTCTGCGACCTGCGTGGTACACCATCCGGAACCACACTATGATGTAAGCCTTTTATCAAAGATGGCATTACATCAACTCAGTTGTCGGTGTCTGAAACCCAGGAGCATAACATCCGCCAGTTATAATCACCTGTTCATCGAAATGAAATTGCTAGTTTTGTGAGTGGAAAGAACGAAGTACGAATGATGCGATTCCGGGGACCGCTCATCTCAGTCAAAATGACCTGGCACATGACTTCATAACTCGACAACTTGACATAACAGGACACCCATATTTTCCCTGTTTTCCCTGTGGAAAGATGAGTGATGCGATTCGAAGTACGAACGGTGCGAATGATTTGCACTGAGTTCTAAATGTGGAGTCCTTTGAAAAGTGAATTGATCTGCCAGGCACCTGTAAGAACAATACAGCAATGCAGAGCTCTAAATGAAATTTTTCCGGATCTGTTTTAGCTCTAACCTGTGGCTGACGTTGTTCGTCCACAGTTGCTTCCGTGTTCGGGTCCGACCTGCCCCGCATATACAGCGTCAAGGGGGTTGGTTGTAAACTGAATATGGATATGGTTTCATCTATCCACAGTTGCTTCCGTATGCAGGCCCAACGTGCCCCGCATCTACGGTGTCAACGGTGTTGGTTGTAACCTAAATTGGTTTCATCTATCCACAGTTGCTCCCGTGTGCCGGCCCGACCTGCCCCGCATATATGGCGCCAACGGGGTTGGTTGTAAGCTAAATATGGATTTATCTATCCGCAGTTGCTCCCGTTTGCCGGCCCGACCTGCCCCGCATGTATGGCGTCAACGGCGTTGGTTGTAAACTAAATATGGATTTATCTATCCACAGTTGCTCCCGTATGCCGGCCCGACCTGCCACGCATCTACGGCGTCTCCAAGAAGGAGCTGGTCACCATCCTGTGCGACGTCGATTCGAACCCCTCCCGGATCCACTTTTTGTGGACGTTCAACAACACATCCGAGTGGCGCGAGCTGGACAGCCGCCTGGTGAACAGCAGTCAGACGCGCAGCACGCTCCGCTACCGGCCGCGCACCGAGATGGACTACGGCACTGTCTTCTGCTGGGCCACCAACGACATCGGACGCATGGCCAGGCCCTGCGTCTTCCACATTATCGCAGCAGGTGGGTTCGACAGCAGGCGGTCGTCGGAGAAGGGAGGCCAGGCTTGTGGCGGTGGTTGGAAGGCAATCTAAAACAATATTTTGTAAACGTCCTGCAGTTTTGTAAACAATGTAGCAAACGTTTTGTGCAACCCGAAAATGCTTATCTGAGTTTTGAACGACCAGCCTAAGCAGGATGGTACCCGATAACCTTTGGTATCTCGTGCCTGAAGATCCAGATTTGCTATCTGGATTTGCACCTCCAATAGTGCTCATTTATAATCAGGAAGTGCAGGTATGCTGGCTGCGGCACGGTGCATCAATTATGTAGCCAGCAATCATGTAGTGCACCCCTGGGATCGTGTCGGCGCGGTGGAGCGGAGCTCTGACCCACCTGCGGTCTGCTCCGTCCGCCAGGGCCTCCGGACCCGCTCTACAACTGCTCCGTGTTCAACCGGACGGCCGGCGACCTCTCGGTGCGCTGCCTGGAGGCGTTTGACGGTGGCCTCGTGCAGTCGTTCGTACTGCACGTCTACTCGGCAGAGGACGACCACGTGAGGATCACAGGGGTCTCCGGGGTTCGGCAGAGGCCGGAATGGGAGGGAGGGGAGGGAATGCTTGTGGGGCAGGGGAGTTGCGGAAGGACTTCAGGGTAAAATGAGGTCAGATCTGTTGGCGGACACGTGGAACTTGAAACCGCAACTGAGCATAACGAGTGCTAGAGTTATTTTCCACGTTAAATTTGTGCAGCTCGCCGTCAATGTAAGCATTTTTCTTATGCTGTCAAATCCAAATGGCAGTCACTGCATTTTTTCTATCGTTTTAATGCTTAATTGATGCAATAGTTTACACATTGAACGACCTTTCCCCTGACTTAATAACAATGTCTGGTGTTTATGAAATATGGTGTTGATAAACATGGTGGTTATGAAATACGTGTCGTGTATGTTCGTTGTCCAGCAATACTGAACAAAATATGTCTAGTGCCTAGGATCGGCAATCACCGATTCCTCTCAACTAATACTGGGGCGCAAAGAGCGCTGCAGCTATGACCTAGCCAGAGCGCTCTCTCGACCTTTCCAGATCCGGGACAAAGGTCAAAGGAAGCTGTTTGTAGCGTCGTCAGGTGCCATTGTTACAGTACACTTAGCTGCTCAGCGAAAGAATTGGTCGTTAGCCTACCTACCTCTGTCCGGCAGCTGGTCTACAATAAGACCTCGTCGCGACCCGAGTGGCACGTGCACGGCCTCATCCCCACGCAGCGGTATCGTATCCAGGCCGTCTCTCAGAACGACAAGGGCAGGAGCGCCACGGTGACAATTCCAGCGGACACCATGGCCGGACCGGAGAAACAGCAGGAAAACAAACAAGGTCAGTGGAGCCCGGCAACGACTCGCTCTAATGCACCCGAGCGACCCGATACACTCGTTAAACGGATGAAACTACAGGATCAGTTTAATGAGAAGTGAGCCAAGGTCGTTAGTTGGATGGCGATGAGATCTCGTTTTGATTTCAATACCAGACAGCCGAGCTCATTTTACAAGGGAAATTTGCATAAGTTCTTTGAGCTTGATGTCTTTCTGATATCTCTTTAGCGTCTTGATGTACTCGTTAATTTCTGCAGAGACGTACTAATTTAAAACTTTCCTCAAATGTTATCAGATTTCGATCTAGTTCACTGATTTGTCGGCTGTTTGAACTTCTCTCCAATTGCCCTTTTGTCGAATACCGTATGTTGTTTTTGACCGCATCTTGCCGCTGTGTATTGCATCATACGGTGATACAATTTAAACGTCCAGCTTGTTTGAAGTTACACAAGTGACCCGTCGCATACATCAAGTTTGAGAAGTTTATTGAAACACCAGTATTGAGAGGGCAAATATCTACCTGTGTAAAATAAAATGCAATGTAAATGCATCTGAGAGCACACGGACAAATGCGGCCATTTGCCACCTCATGTGTTCAGAAGACGAAAAGGCACATCTCGTCGAACAAATCGCATTGAATCAAAGCGACCATTCCCATCGACGTGCAGGCCGAACGTTCAATCTGTGGCCCGGTGTGACCTTTCGGTCTCTCTCTCTCTCTCTCTCTTCCTCCATTCTCTCTCTTTCTCATTTCTCTTCTCCTGTTTCTCATTCTCTCACATTCCCTCTCACTCCCTCTCTCTCATCCTCTGGATCTCTCCTTCTCTCTATATCCATCCCTCTCTCACACTTTCACTCACCTCCTCCCCATCTATATCTCCTCTCTCTCTCTCTCTCTCTCTCTCTCTCTCTCTCTCTCTCTCTCTCTCTCTCTCTCTCCTCTCTCCCCTTGGTCTCCCTCCCTCTCTTTCTCACTCTCCTCTTTCTCACTCTCCTCTCCCCTCTCCAGACATCACCATAGCGGAGATGCTGCCAGAGCCAGCAGAGTCGTCTCCACCAATGTTGGCCATCCTGGTTGGCGTCGTGGGCTCCGTGTCGCTTCTGCTACTCGCGGCGCTCACCACGCACCTCCTCTGTCGACGGGGACATCGGCGAAGGGCGCGAGCCGCTGCTGCCGCACCCGCCTCCACCGCCGCCGCCAAGCCGCAGGTCAAGACGGCCGCGCCCGGACTGGATGACGATGATGATGAAAAAGGTCCAGATGTGGTGCCGGAAGAGGGAGGTGAGTGAGAGGGAGAGTTGGAGAAGGAAGGAAAGTCGTGACGAAGTGACTTCGTGAGGTGACCCGTAGCGGCTTTGTGCGCTGGTACTTGTTGGCAGAAACAGTGCTGGGCTCGATTTGTAATGAGCTTGCATGTGTATCATAACCGTATCAATCTCATGGATGAGCTTACGCTTTACTCCTGACTATTTGCGAATTGTGTAAGCTCTGTTCTTTCTTACTTTTTCAGACACCGTCACACCCTCGTCCGTCATACTCCCTCGCAAGTCTTAAAAAGCTCTGTTGTGACGTGGCTCTGATACTGACCGGCTCTATTTTCCATCCCAGACTCGACATACGGCGTCTATCGGATTCCGGAGAACATTCCTGCACTGCCAGCGCGCGCCCAGGAGCCGGCAGCACCGCTGGGCAGCGGACGAAGGAACGGCGACATCCCGCTGCGCTCCTTCAACCACATAGTGCCCATGGAGCAGGTGAGGGAGCCGTACTGGGGGGGGGGGGGCAGGTCAGAGCCCCCCAGGTCAGAGTCCCCTGGGGAGCAGGTCAGGGAGCCGTCCTGGGAGCAGGTCGGGGAGCCGCGTTAGGGACAGGTTAGGGGGCCGTCCTGGGGGCGGGTGTGGGAGCCGTCCTGGGGGAGGCCAAGGAGCCGCTCTGGGGGTGGGTTAGGGAGCCGCCCTGGGAGCAGATCAGGGAGCCGTGCTGGCCCAGGTGGCAGGTCTGGGAGCCGCCCTGGAGCAGGTCAGAGAACCAGGGAGGCGCTGGGAGGGAGGAGAGGAAAGGGAAAGCAGGTCAGAGTGCCTCGCCAGGAGGAAAGGGGGGGGGCAGGTCAGGGAGCCGCCCTGGTGACAGACCAGGGAAGCGCTGGGGGGGGGGGGGTAGGGAGAGCAGGTCAGGGAGTCTCGCTAGGAGGAGGGGGGCAGGTCAGGGAGCCGCCCTGGGGCAGGTCAGGGAGAGCAGGTTTGGGAGCCACGCTGGGTAGAGCGGCCGAGTCGGACCTGTCGGCGGCGCCTGCGAGAAGATACCGAGCCCGCCATACCGCCGTCTCTGTCCAATAAATCACCGGGAACATATGAGCTGCGCGACCAGTTGGGAACACCACTAAAGCTTTATCATGGAAACCCGCTTACTTAACGATCTAACGGAGACACACTGCGGTAAATGGTCCGAATTCAGGTCTTATCACGCTATCTTCTTTTTAGTATGCATCATATCAAGGTGATGAGTTTCCCAGCTCAAACGGCATGCAAAAGACCGCTAAACTACCACTTTATATTTGCCTGGAGGCACATAAAACCAACAAATGGATAGTCAACTGGCTGAATTTCACCGGCTTCAGGTATGCATGAGTTCAGCGGCGTCCCGTTTTGGCTCCATTTCTGCGTTAGTTGTGCTCGTCGTTTGGCGGCCGGCCGGCTCGGTGTGACGTGACCTTTGCGGGCGTGCCGGGACCGGGGTCGCACCTGTCGACCGGCCCGGCTCGGAGCTGAGCTGTAGGCGGGCCGAGCGCCCAGATAGGGCCGCTATTTTTACCAGATGAGCGCCGGAAGGAAGGGGCCAATGCAGCGGACCACTGCTGATGGTAGCGCTCAATGGAAGGCTTATCGCGCCATAGACTGAGAAAGGCTCGGCTGAATGGCGATCCTTACTGTGAGATTAGGTTTGGAAGAATTTACCGGTATCCGCCTCGCCTTCATTGGTTAATAACTGACTGAATAATTTCCGACGCATCAATAATTATCGCTTCAATCGCATAAAATGAACATATCGTGGAACCGTTTTCCATTTTATGGTGTGCGATAGTTACCATGGGATTGTCGGTAAAATCCCCCGTCACCTCACTCACGTTTGTGTCCCTGTTCCAGTGCATGCAGCACGGCGCCGCGACGCTGCCACCGCCGCACCGGCGCCCCCCGCGGCGCCCCTCCCAGGGCGCCACTGCCACCGTGGACCGCCGGAGGGCGCACGGACCTCCACCTCCCCGGCTGGAGGACGCCCGACCGCCGGACGCCGCGCGCTCGCCCATGATTGGTGGCCGGCACGAGCCGAGCGCGCTGATTGGCTACGGCGCCGACGAGGCCGCGCTCATTGGCTGCCGGCTCGACGAGAGTGCGTTTTGACCGGTCAAGGTCGCTGAGTGAAGGTGCGCGCGCCCCGTGAGCGGTGGACTGCCGCGGCAGCGAGCTCCGGACTGCCGGGTCAGGACGTGCTGGTTGGTGTTTGAAGATGTTATAAGTGTGGATGTCTGAACTCTACGACACACTGTTTTATGTATGTTCACGTAGATAGGCCGAACACATGTCCATATTACCTCTTGTTAATTTATGGAATGTTTATCCATATGCTGAGAGATGTTGAATGAATGGTGGACTGGAAACTTTTGAATAATTATTAATAAATAATGTGAGCTGTATCTTTCATTGAAGGATTTTTCAATAACGCAGGCATATTAGACAACATGACGAGTGGCGGCTTACAATGCGAGGTATCGATCGGACGGAGGTCTAATTTTTCAGATTTTAACTTATTCTTATGCTTGGTTTGTCAAAATAGGCGATGAATATATCTATCTATCTATTTATATATATATAAATAGGGAATATATATATACCTATATAACATACCTATGTACCTATGTAACATATATATTTATTACGAGCGAGCGAGCGCAGCGAGCGAAGCGAAGTCTTTTCAATATAACGGAAAAATCTCAGTATGAGCGGCCCGGCCCGGCCCGGCCCGGCCTGTAACGCTTTTGAGAGGCTTATATCTCAGCAACCGCTGGACCGATTGGCCTGCGGTCTTTTTTGCTGGGTAGCCCCATCCCTTCTACCCCGTAATGGACTACTTTTGATACATCTCAGTGACCGTCGTGGCACGTGCCACGTGAAAAGTCAAGGATTTTCAAGCAGTTTTGCAAAAGTAATGATTTTGAGAGGCCCATATCTCAGCAGCGATTGTTCTGCGGTAATTTCTATAGGGTAGCTGCATCCCTTCTACCAAAGGTCGGATACTCTTCATCTATGTGAGTGACCCCCACTGCACGTGCAAAATACAAAAAGAAGAGGTGCCAAATTTGTTCCCATTTCAGTAACTCGGTAATTACTGGGGCGATTTCGCTGAAACTTGGCATACAAGTAGGCACCCACCAGGCAATGCATTCCCATGTGTTGCGGTTAGGGTGCTACTGCACGTGCGCACGTGCAGGGGGCGTTTCCAGATCTCGAGAACGGCTGGGCCGATTGCGCTCAAATTTGGTACACGGTTGGGGACCGGTTAGTTGGGTGCCGTGCAAAAGTCATTTTTGACCCCGTTTGCTCGTGCGCACGTGCAGAATGCCGCTTCCAGATCTCAGGAACGGCTGGACCGATTGCGTTCAAATTTGGCGCACCGCTAGCGACCGGTTAGAAGGGTGCTTTGCACAAGCCCCGTTGGAAGTGCCCTCTCGCCCTTCCGCACGTGCAGGGCTCACTATCTCGCTCGCTCGTTCTTCGCCCAAAAGGCGTTTTACTGGTATTTACGTCAGCCGACACTCCACAACACGGTGGCTACTACGTGTCAATTGTCAGTGAATAAAACGGTTGGGGAAGTCGAAAGGTACACGGCCAACAACAATCATCCGCCGAAACAGCACACACACGCACGCACAATCACTCCAAATAAAAGAAACGTTTCGCTGCCGGTTTAAAAGCCGCTGGCTCGAGCATGTACCCATTTTACTGAGAGACATTACTTTCAGCTGAATTAAAAGTGTTACCGCACTCAAACGAATGCAATGACTGCCGTTAAACACACACATTTGGATAGATTATTAGTCGTTAAGATGTTAATTGCTATAGTAACGCACGTCATAGTAAGTCCCATAATATATGGGAGGGAAACCGGAAACGGACATTCGATAACAGCTGCACAATTACGCAAGACTTACTTATTAAGTGTCTTTAGTTAGTAGGTACTGCTCATATTCGTATGGTCTAACCAGTGTGGCCCGGTGATCTAAAAAGAATCTCCCGTGGTGCGTTCAATTTTCCTTCACGTCACTCCACTGCTCCGCAGTGGAGCGCCGAGGTTTTCAGGTGACGGTAATATCGGCCGTCGCTGGGATCGGGCTCGTATTTGACGGCTGTTTTTCGTCAGTCGGCTGATGCGCCTGGAGAGGAGGGAGGGGGCACTGAAAACCAAAATGATTCTCCTGATGCCCTGGTCATGGGCATTTATACCCGCATGATTCCCTTTTGATCCTTATATTATACCCATTTTTTCTTTCCCTTCGATTATGCAGGCATCACAGAGGGAATCAGAGTCCCCAAATATGTCTGTAATACTCCAATAGTATACCAGTGGCGCTGATCCTCTCGATAGAACGTAGATATCACCCAATTAGAACTGTAATACTCTCCAATGATTCTTAGCTACAAGAATCATTGAAGAATCAATACTGTCTCGCGATTCCCATTTGACTCTCTCATGATTCTCCAATTATGTCACTATGATTCCCGGAAAGAGCATAACTGCCATTTTCTCGCCGCCATGACAGTTTGTAACTGTGAGGTGAAGTTGGCTGCGTTTCGGGGCCTGCATTTTCGGGCATTTAAGTGTGTGTTTTTAGGTCTGTGACTTTCGCAAGCGAAGTTTTTGTTCCTATTGCACTCTTTGATATTTCTGACACAGCGTAAAGGCAATATTTTCCTAAGAAACACAAACAGAATCCATCTTTATGCCATGGATGGACTGAGAGAGAGAGAAAGAGAGAGCTGAGCTCATCGCTTGGAAACCTGCCACCAGGTACGACCAGCCTACGTGACTTTATGAAGACAATCTGTGAAAATACATATCGCAGTCGAGGTAAGAACGAAATGCAGCTGATTTATTATATGTTTTTTTTAAGTGTTTTTATTCTATATTCTTTTTTTTTTACTGCGCCGTGCTGGTGGTCTGAATTTCCCGTGTCGTGCTGGGGGGGGGGGGGGGGGAGGAGGGCGTTTTCACCCCTCCCCGTCTAATTCGGCTCCTAGGCCACGTAGCGACACGCGGTAAGCGGCATTCGAAAAAGGGTAAATAAAAATTGAAAATACTTCGGTCATTTTTTAGGTCAGGTAACCAGAGGTCATCAAATGTCAAATTTTATATATTTCAACAATTTTCGAAACACCCAGCGCATAACTCGGGAACCAATAGAGCTACAGCGCCGGGGAAGATCGCATTCGATACCTCTTTTACAGGCCTATCTGAAGAATGTTCTCAGATTTGACCTCAGGTCAACGGATTAGCCTCTAGCCCTAGAACGCCTAGGGGGGGGGTTGTATCAACCCCCCCCTGAGGTTTTTTCGAAGTGCACGCTAAACGGCTTGTCGTAGCGGGCTGAAATTTTCAATACCCTCTGGGGCAACCTTTGCGCATCTTTTGCCGAAAAAAAATTGATCGGGTCATGTCAGGTCACGGAGTTATGACGTCATAAGAGGTACAGCCTCCGGCCGGATTTTCACAAACTGAGTGCCAACGCCCGAGGTTTCCTGCCGGTGGTACGGACATCGGTTGATGGATCGTGATGAAACTTCCCATGCATGTTGGGGCAAGTATTGGCTATCATATGGTATAAGAAATTTGACCGGGTCAGGTCAGGTCACGGAGCTATGACGTCACAAGAGGAACAGCGTCCGGTACTATTTTTGAAAAGCGCCCGAACCACTATTTTGCTAATTCTTGTCACCTCAATGGGAATATGCAGCAATATTAGCTTCTATAGGGAGCAAATGGACCTCCCAAATCCAAAAATACAATCAGATTTCAAAAATTTAAATTTTGATTTTTCGAATTTCTGCCGCCGACTGTGACCTTGCCGACTTCCGGCGCTCCCAACGCGCCATTTTTAGAGCTAGGGAAACGAAATACATACCAAACGATAGAGAATTGATCAAGGAACACGATAGTGAAGGTTTCAAGTCGATATCTCCCACCGTTTTGCCGCAATCGCCGCCGAAAGTTGAAAAAAAGTCTATTTTTCCGAAAATTTGACCTTTGACCGGTCAAAAGTAGGTCAAATGTTGACCTAGGACCAAAAAATATACCACCAATCGCGAGATCTCGTTGAGAGCAATCCGTTGGTTTTTTCCGCTAAGCTCTACGACCTTCCGTTTCGAAACGCCAGGGGGGGTCGTAACAACCCCCCCCCCCCCCCGGTCGTTCGTGTTATGAGAAATGGCCTGGTCGTGCGAGGGCTAGAGGGGAAACTCCAAAAATAGCCGTATTTACGAAAAAAAAGTTTTTCGGTAATTGCTTTTGACTCAAATAAGTCACGACATCAATTTTACCAGCATCGTGTTACTCTCGTCGAGAAGCGTCGAATGAACTATAAGCTGACCTGGAAAGGTCATTTTGAAAATTTGACCTCAGGTCAAGGTCATGACCTGACCGGAAAGAGTCATGTTGCATATCACTCGATCCGTATCGTCGAGCTGAACACATCTGACATGTATATTGTTAAACATCTGACATGTTATCACCGCTCTAGCACGTCTCTATCAAAAGCTATAGTAAAAACTGCTGGTGACCTTTAATGACCTGATATGACCTCAGGGGCACAGAGAGGGGTCATGTGTACAATTTGCAGCTTCAGTGTGTCATATTTACTTATAAACCGATGTTAATGAGTGTTTAGAACGACATTCCTTCAAATGAGGCACATTTCAATTTTCTCCCATTGACTTTAAAGGAGAGGTCGCAAAATTGACCTGACCATAGGTCACAGATATCAAAATTCCAAGATATAAATTTTATACATACTGCTACTCTTATCAATCGCCTTAAGTTTTAGAGCGATCGTTCAGTCGATGTAGCTACAGCGAGCCTTTAAACTTATTCTGAGATCAGGTCACTTGACGTGACCTGGTGACCTGACCTTGAAACTAGACCGGGACCTGAAATTTTTACAACAAGTTTATATTCAATAATGTAGAATGAAGTTAATATCCTGGATTGCCATTACAAGAATGCGTGCCTTGTAAAACATTGAGCCTCAAAATATCTTGCAAGATGTTTATTTTCAAAAGTTACCGCTGTGTCGGGTCAGGATGTCCGCTGTCCAGTGAAGAGTAATGAACATTTTTAGTACGCCTCAGATAGGTATGTTCTCCTGCTTTTACATGGGTGGCATTGTCCCTTTGAATCAGTTAAGTCTGAGTTGAGTCAGATTACAACAATTTAGCATTGAGTTGAATACAATTTTGTCGCCGTGATTGTGAATAATGGACAAGTCAATCCGATAAACTTCCTGAGTCCAGTACTATCCTGCTTCCAGAACGTCAGTAAGTCAAAAGTAGTAAATTAACAGTGATGCTACGTGTTTGTTTCACAGAGGACGTGCCACTCATCATTCTGCGGTTGCTGGGCGAGGAGGCGGCGGTCGTAGTGGATGCGC